GGATGTTAATCATCTACACTTTATGATTAAAAAAAGCACTATACAACTATCTCACATTAAAAAAAATGCAACATTTCTACACAGAGAAATCTATCATAACACTCAAGGTAATTGGCAATTGGAATTATATTTAAGACAACTGGAAATACATCTTTGATTCCATGATTTTGGCTGAAATGATCATACTTTTAACAAACTGTATCTTTTATTAAGCCATGTGTCAACACTTAGTAACATTATCGAAAACGTAAGCATTATTTTAAGGAATGACAAAGACTTCCAAACAACGGCATGTAGCATCTGTTTCTCAAAATGATGAACAATATGTTTGCTATACAGGAAAAAGCAACAGTGTAATGTCTTACTGAATATTGCTTCAACAGTGGTCCAGAGTTTTGTTTTGATTAATTATAAAGTTAGAGGTTAGACAAAATGTTAAGATCCTAACCTTGAAATGATCAGGGATTTTAATTGCGCAGAATATGGCCTACTGCTGTGAAAGATTAGGTACACGAATGCCTGAGAATTTCTTGATGCGGCTTCCTTTTATCATGAGCTATCAAAATACTCTAACAGGCTTAAGAGTTAGTCTTTAAGTTGGGAGGTCCTTAAAAATGCATAAAAATGACATCCCTTTAGAGGAGAAATAAGAAACTAATACATTAGACACATCCTCTCTGTGTTCACCCTGGGGCTTTTAAGAAATTCTGTCAGATTTGAGTTTGATCTGACTTAAAAGGTGACAGACAAGTAGAAGAAGGTTAGAAGATAAATCCTAGAACATAAGAAGGTATGGCTCAGTGTATCCCATCAGGCCTCGGTGCTAACAGGATCACAACAGTAGTCTTTGTTGATGAAGACATCACACACCGCCTCAGTTGGCAACTTCACAAAGCAGACTAAACAGCACAGGCTAAGAAGTGTCTGACAGAACCGCTGCACCTGCTCATTTTCCAATAAACTTCCGAATCACAGTAGGTCTAGTGAAGGGCCAACAGTACTCGTTGGGGACGGGCCCGTTGACGTTGCACTCAAAGAAGGAGAACATGGGGAACCAGATGCGAGCTCTTCGACTCTGCTGGTAGGCCCGGGTGTTGGCCAGAGTGTGGTAGTACAGGAAGAGTCTGGTAGTGATGTAGAACGCTATGAACACGTCGATGGAGTAGTGTTCGTGTGCAGCCAAGATGAAGAAGATGCCAAAGAGATTTAACACCCATGACAGTGTGTGAATAAAGTTCCAACTTCGGGGAGTGTCTGTATGAGAAATTAGAAGAAAGAACGGTTTAAGATACATTTTTATGTTGCTGTTTGGAGTCTTACTACATTATCAACAAATCTATCATGTCCTATGTAGACAGTTTATTTCTGACCAGGTAAGACAGAGAAAGGCTAGTTATAATATTAATTGTAATACCAGTGAAGGACACTGGGCGGCAACAAAAGTGCAATGTTCCCAAATATGGTTACAATGTTTCTTCTTCATGATTTAGTACTTAAACCTTCTGATGTGACAGTTTTTAACAGCTCATATTTTATCAGCTTATCTTTAGATATTTTTAAGTCAGGGTAAAAAACTGCAACTTGTCTAGAATTTCAGCTTTAAAAAACATCAAGCATTCAATTTAGACTTTTCGTTAATTCAGACATCCAATAAAAACTATAAAGCCACAATTTAACGCAATACTTTTTAGGTGTTAAAAGTATTCGTAATCCAATGAGTAGCAGACACACATCTCCTCTAGAGCTTTAAAATGACCTAAGGCTTCACTTTGGTCTTTAATCAACCAAGTTAAGTTATTGCGAGTTAATATCTGTTATCTGTGTCCATTTTTAAAATGTTGACAGTTTAGAGGACTTCTGAAGTTCAAAGTAGTTTGGACTTAAAAGCTACTCACACTCTGTGACAAAGAAGTTGAGCAGAGTGATGACCACAGTGTGCCCGCTGAACATGTAGTCACCACATGTATGCACGCCTGTCAGGGTCATCCCAAATCCGCTCCAGATTGCCACAGCTCGCTGCAGTTTGGCCCACGTGTCACCATACATCTAGATGGAGAAAAGTGAAAATATCAGTGCAGTGAGCTTTCAAAGAGGCAGCATTTTACATAGAGTAGACAGAACATGCATTATGTATTACCTTTCCTGAGCATTGCAGGTGCTGCCCTGGCACAGACAGGGAGGTGACAAACATGGTGATGCAGCGCAGCATGAACACCGTTCCCATGAGGCTGCACATGCGCCGCAAGAGGATGGACCTAAAAGCCGTGTGACATAGTTAGCTTCCATAGCATTGATTTAAGGGACACACTTTAGGCATCCGAAAGGAATATCACTGTGGTGGTGTAAAATGTGCACGGATATAAAAGTACTCTACCTGTGTTTATGGAGCAGCAGAACCAGCAACCAGACATTACACAGGATCACCCCACATGCTTCAGCCATGGCAAAGGCCCAAGGTATTCTAGGCACACTGTAAACAAGTAAAAATGGTTAAGGTTGAAATATTTAAGTACACTTAAGCTGCAACTGCCTTTAACGTGTTTTATAATGCCAAAAGACATTTCCCTGAAATCAGTTCCCCCTTAATAAACAAACGCTTAAAGCTGTTCATAAACAATGGGTCACACTGTAAAGTAGGTCACTTTTAAAAACACTCAAATGTTCTCTTTGCACCAAAGTAAACCCCTGAGGAATATGTGAGGACAATTATAGAAACTTGCTTCAAGGAAGTAGGGCAATTATAATGTCCACCATCTGCTGTGATACCCTGATTTATATGTATTTGATTCACTTTCTCTATGGCATTTCACAGCTGACAAATCTTTTTTTTTTCATGGCTTCTCATTGCACCAAGTCAGGTAAAACCTCTTAGTAGTCAAACACCCACCTGTCTAGGAAAATATCTGGCAGTGGAGGGTATGTGCGCATGTCAGGCACCCTCTCATGTACTATAACCATGACAAAGGATGTGAACCCAAACACGAACACCACATAAATGGAGCTTAGTGCCGTCTTCCAGTACTCAGGATCCAGGCGCCTTGGCTGCTGCTTGTACTTTCCATTAGTGTACTGGTGATACTCCTCTCCCACTGGTGCTGTGTCAGTGCTGTCACAGTCTCTGGTTGGGTCCCCGTTACACAGCCAGTCCAAACTACCTCCAGAACCTGTGGGAGAGTGGCCATCAAAGGGAAGACCCAGCTCCTCCAACACTTCAATATTCTGTTTCTGTAGTTTGCGTATGGACACCATCAGCCGCTTGATGTCCCCCAGCACTTTGAGCTCCAGAGGTGGTGAGCGGAGGTCGTACTCGCTGAGGGCGAGCAGACTGGTGCCGTCCAGCCGGTGCTTGTTGCACAGCAGGTCCACATAGTCACAGAATCCCTCTTCTTTCAGCCACTTGGCGACGTGTTTTGACGTCCAGCGACGGACACTCAGTTGGTTCATTGCCTCCTCACTCTGAAGGCCGGAGAAAAAACAATATCATAATTTTAAATCAAACAACTGAGCTATCCCTTATGCAATACCAGTTCCTCATTGACTTCCTCACTTACAAAGGGATTTTAAGGAGAAGCATGCACTACTTAGGCACTCCTTACTTCTAAATCAGCAATAAATACTCCTAACAAACCATGCCACATAGACAGAAAACAGCTTAACTTTGAAACAAATCTCTATGTCAGGTTTAAAACTAATCCTTAGCTACATATCCCAACTTTGGATAAGTGTGCAAATAAATAGTGATAGTCTGTGTTTAGTGTCCTGTCTGTCTGTAACTTTGTGTGGTAGTGTCACCACTGAACATGTCTCTCTTGAAAATGAGACCTTGTGTCTCAATGAGATTTTAGAATTTAGCACACACCCTAGAATCTAGATGAAGGAGCAGACAACGCCTAAGGGCCAGATATTGACTTGTACTTCTGTGATAGTTAAGAAAAATTACTTGTAACCCATTGTTCCGAATCCTTTTATTATTACTATGGAATAAAGACTAAAAGGAGTCATTTTAGTTTAAGCTTCACCTTGGTGTCAGTCGAAACACCCTGTTGAAGTCTGTTCCAGTATTGCCTAGATTAATATATTAAAACAGATAGCTCGTCTTATGTAATGGTTTCATGATATGATGGAACTGCGCCTCCATGCAAAAGCAGCAACACGTAGACAGTATCTTTGTCCAGACACCCACCTGCACTACTATTACCCACATCACTGGCTATTTATAAGGTGCGGTCAGGAGCTAATTCTAATAACCTCTGTCATTATCTAGTCAGATAACTAGCCGAACTGTTGGTGGTTGACCGTGAAAGTTACAGCAAACATACCCGAGGTAGACATACAACCAAACAGACCATTTTATTCATGACAACAAATAATCCCAAACAGGCTAATTCAGCACTAGCTAACGTTAGCTAGCCAGCTATATTAGCTAGCTTAATCAATGCGCTCACTCACCCGGACTGAGATGTGACAGAAGACGATACCTTATTTATTCAGCTAGCTAGCTAAATGGCATCTAACAAGAATCTGAATAAAACCTAGTAGCCTTTGCTCCAAAAACATGGGCTTGTTGGAAATCATTTCGGCCCGGCTTCGCGCTGTTTAGCACAGCACTGTAGACATAAAGGTTGACACACGGCGGTAATGTCCAGTGTAGCTGCGCACGTAAAATCAGCTACACGGGGTTTGGCTCATGCTGTCCAACAGTGACACCCTCTGGTGAAAATAAGCTACTTTATTGTGTTTATTTTGCAGGAGAGTTATAGTTATGATGTCAAGAAATTAAGTCTTTGTGCATTAAGTACCACACATTCAATATTAGAGATATAAAGGTCCAAGGTTTCCTACCATTTAGATTTAGATGATGGGTCACTGATACAAATTTAGATCAGGGACATCGGACACACACCTGTCCTTGTCAGTAGCAGCATAGTAACGTCTTAACTGAAAATAAATGTCGGGAGAGAATAAATCATTCAAATTGGTAGAGACTAGAGTATGTTGTTATGCAGTCAACTGTGAGCAATGTTCAGGAAAGTAATGGAGTTTCCCCTGCTACTCCATCTGTGAAAGACTTGGTGAAGGTTTTATTTGGAGGAAAAAGGTTTGGCAATCATGTGGATGAAGTTTGGCCTAACCTGTTCATTGGTGACATGTAAGTTTAAATATTCCTATTCCAAAACACAAGTAATTCTAGAGTTTTGTGATGCTTGTTTTGTTTCTTGATATAATCCCTGTCCACAGGTCAGTGGCCAATGATCGCTACAGTCTGTGGAAGCTGGGAATCACTCACGTTCTGAATGCAGCTCATGGGAAGATGCACTGTCAGGGGAGTCATGACTTCTATGGCTCCTCTGTGGAATATTATGGAGTGCCTGCAGATGACTCACCATCCTTTGACCTATCTCACTATTTATTTCCCTCTGCTGAGTATATTCAGAGTGCACTTGACACAGCTGGTGGTAAATATCATGTTGCTTCTTGTCAGTCAGTTTTATCTGATACTCTAGTATCAGTTCGTGCTTAAGGTTTATTGTCTTGTGTTTTTTCTTTCTCCACAGCTCGGGTTTTTGTCCACTGTGCAGTTGGAGTGAGCAGGTCAGCCTCCCTCGTCCTGGCCTACCTTATGATCCACCAGAATTACACCCTGCTAGAGGCCATCAATAAGGTCAAAGAGCACAGATGGATTTTTCCAAACACAGGATTCCTCAAACAGCTTTGTGCTTTGGATATGAAAACACGCAAATCATCATGAGCAATCCTTTGTACTGCAAAAACAAATAATTGTTTCTAAATTACAGAGACTCAAACACTTGTTTTCCTCAAGACAAATAAAGAATTGCACTTCTGCCAGTAGAGGGAGATACTGTATGTCGACCTCAGTCAGTTTGTTTCAAGAATATGGCTCAAATCTTTTGCCCCTGGTGCTGCGTTTAATGCGAATCATGCTGCTTATCCACACGTTTTTTACTCTTATATTATAATATTATATAATATTATAATGTATTCATCTCATTCACCCTGGGCAAAATCCATTTTAAGACAGAACATAAGGCCTAACTGACTAATTTAACCTTTGTTCTATATTCATAAAAATTGACTTTCTCTACGTTTGTGTTGTCTGTTCATTCAAACGATGAGTTTATAATGCAATGTAATTAGCTGTTACTAGATCTAAAACATACCTTTGCCTGAATGTTCAGTTTCATTATCATCTCAACTTCTGTCTTGTGTTTCCAGTGGTTGACTGGTTATTTCCTGGGATTTTGTTATTCCAATTGTATGTAATGGAGTCAAATGCTGAAAAACATTTTATACTCAATATGTCTTCTGAGAACATACAGTGATCTGCATCTTGATCTCATCAGAATCCTGCATTTACTAGAAGGAATGGATTACATGTTAATATACTGTACATATTAGGTGGGATATGGTCCCACCACACACTCCCCTGATGCATCAATAAGCAGATGTAGCATGTTGAATAATCAATCAATAACTATCTCCAGGTCAAAAAGACCCGGAGACATTTATTGACTGATTCTGTATACAACATCATTTCCACAACACATCAATTTACATTCTACATACAGTTCATGACCCTGAATGAAAAGGGGTCATTATATTTCATGGAGGTTAATTATGTTTTTCTTAAATGTAAAAGCTGGAATGAGTGAAATTGACCTGCAACATAATAGGAGGGTTAACAGAGAAGCTTTGTGAGGGCTGTTTGAAGTCATGTGTAGCCAGCGGCAAAGCTTAATGTGTTTCCTCTTCAGCCAATTTGCTCTCACAAGATATTTATGTCAGAGCAGTAAACTAGCTGCATCAAGCTGTTGCAGTATATCTGTTCCATAAATGCAGCATTCAAGTGGACTTCCTGCCATCCTGTATAAGCAATGCACTTAAACATTTGGTCCATAATTGCATCCAATTATCACTGCTTTATGGAATGATTCATCTCTGTTTGAGCCTTATTAAATTAGAGTCCCACAGCGGTGTGAAAAGCTGAACTCGGGCTGCTCTGTTTGTTGTGCTGCCCTCTGTACGAGTAAGACTACACTCTAGGTTAAGCACTACATTGGGTAACTGTCCAGTGACAGCAGATACACGCCTGCTCGTACAGATCATACCGAGCCAGAGCTGACGGGAACTGCTTTGAAACCACAAACATTTGGACCAGTTATCGATACAAGAATTGGGAATTGAACTTAAAATGTCAAACTTGAAAGGCAAGAGAGAAGAATATCTTAGTGTGAAGGATCTGCAGAAGGTTTTGGACTCATGCAAACTGCATCTTAGTCAAGTTGATGAAGTCTGGCCGAACATCTACATAGGGAATGTGTAAGTATACATTTTATTTCAAACTTAATGAGTAGTGAAACCTGTAAGTTGTCATTTTAAACAGCCATGATCTTTTACATAACTCCTGCAAATGATTGAGTTAAAAAACATTGTGCTGTGAAGCTAAGCATTCACATACGTCTTGAACCTCTCTCTGTCTCTTTGTGTTGTTAGGGCAGTAGCCCAAAACAAGACTTCCTTGCAGAAATTAGGTATTACTCATGTATTAAACGCTGCTCACTCCAAGCGAGGCAGCATAGGGAACCAAAGCTTTTATGGCAACGACTTTGTATATTGTGGCATTCCAGCAGATGACTCGACGCACTTTGATCTGGATGTTTACTTCAACCCTGCTGCTGATTTCATTCATAAAGCTCTGAAGACACATGATGGTAAGACTCTTCTTTGTTCACAATAATTGTTTTTATATTGCACAGTGAATGGTATTTCTTTAACATTTCAAAAATACTGAATAGTATTTTATTTTTACATGTCTGCATGTTTAATTTCCCTCCCTAAACCCAGTATAAACCCATCCACTCAAGTTCTCCCATAATGCCGTCCCTTCAATGTCACCTGTCATCACAATGTAACACATCTTGTAAAGGAATGCAAATGTGTTTTCAGCCAGCAGTAGTAATAAGGGTCTTACCTTGCAGAATGTAAGTCTATAATGTGACCATGGCTTCTTTCAAATAAGCTATCAGGCAGAGGACAAGTTGGGATTAAAGAGACAGTCGGGCCCAGCCTGCAAAGGGACCTTACATGAACAAAGGCGATGAATTGTAGGCACTATTTTTAGCTCAAAGCAGGAAAAAAAGAAAGGCCACAGCTTGAGACGGGCAGTCATGTATGATATTAATAAGACTGAGGCCTTTCTCTAATCCATCTTCTACACACTCCTTCTCCCTTCATCTTGTCTTTTCTTCAGGGAAAGTTCTGGTGCACTGCATCATGGGAATGAGCAGGTCATCGACCTTGGTGTTAGCGTACCTCATGATCTACCATCAACTCCCGCTCAAGCGAGCTTTGCAGAAATTGATCCAAAAGAGAGCAATCTACCCCAACCGGAATTTCCTGGCTTTGCTGTTGGATCTCGATCTTCAGCTGACAAGAAAGGAGAAAACATGTCAGATCCTGTAATCAACAAGAGTTTACACTTTCAGCCCCACAGAAGCAGCCCGGTGCCTAGGGATAGGGATGCCTGACTGATTTCAGACTGAAATATATGGATTGTCATGAAATTTGTTTTAACTGTATTAACAGTGATATAGCCTGTCACCTGGGAAATCTGCAAACATAACATTGAACTACACCTGACTACAATACTCTGCCCGAAGTGTTTACATGGGCACATATTAACATGCTTAATGTCAGTGAAGGGAGTGAGTACAATATGTCTCAATTAGCTGCATTAGCTTCTCAAGGTACTGCTATCATGGTAAAGGACTTTCTATTTCTATTTTGCAGTTTTATTTACAAATACAGAATGTCTTAACAAAATGACAGTTGAAAATCTAATTGACCAGTGTGTGGATTTAGTGAAATATAGAGCGTTATTTGAAATATCTTCCACCCACCCTTCCACGTGAACGGCCCACTCTAGAGCCACAGCTTAGTTCTGGGCTTTTATAGAAACATGGCGGTGCAACATGGCAGACTCTGTGGCGGGGAACACTGGCTTTGTTGATACAGTATGAAGGGCTGATGCTAATGAAAACACAGCATTTGTTATTATTTTAGCTGTTTATACACTTTTTGTAAATGTAATTACGAATTATGTTCCATTTCCTCTATCTATTACACACTGGTCATAATGTAAGGCAAAGTGAAAATACACAAAGACAAATTCATGCTAATGATAAGGATTCTTTGTGACTATATTATGTCTTTCAGTTACCTCTCATTCTTGTAAGATCTTTTTCTTCAGCACTTCACTTTGTGTTACGGCAGAATGGACCAAATGTCTTATGGGAAATGTTTTTTGTAAACTCTGTAAACGACTCATTGTTCTGCAATTCAACATTCAAACTCGAAATTGAATCAGTCTACAGACCAACTTCTCATTGTTCACAGTATAATATTACTTTGTGTATTTATCAAGCTATTTGAGCTGATCATCACACGGTTTCAAATCCTTTGAATCTCCATGAACCAATCCTTAGAAACATTGGAAAACTCACTTACAAAAAGGTACACCGTGCATCTGCTTTATAGCAGTGGTTGCTACCTCCAATTATCTCTAAACCTCAAAATACCACACACATATACGGCATCGTTGTGTTGCTGAGTTGCACATTTAATTCCAATATATATGTTTTAGCTATGGATATTCTATGTGGGTACAAGTAAATGTATACAATACTGTTAGGATTTTTTGCAAAGAATAAACCTTACATCATACATCTTTTTAAATTATTTGTATATTATTTTCATTTTTCAACTTTTGTGTAATTCTTTTGTGCTTCAGACAAGACTGAGTGTTGTTCTAAGTGTCAACCTTTAATATTTGTTTCTGTTTTATTCACTAAATGTCCATATATAAAGTAAAAGAGAAAATCCTGACTTTACCAAATGTCCATATGTTGATTTAAACACATTTCACTGTAAACTCACCATATGATCTAATTCTCTTGCTGTTAAAAAAGCAATGTCCTATCCTCCCTCTTGTGTTGGAAGCTCGGATAACCTTAAAGGAATGCAGAAGATGATGCCAGAATTATTTTGGGCTGAGATTCAGATGTTAAAATAGCATAAAAATGTTGCAGGGTACATTACCAAGGAAAACGCAGACAGTTGTGCTGTCGACCTACATGTTGCTCTTGCCCAGAGACATTGGAAAGCAACGTTTCCAGCCAAGGCAAGTGTACGCTAACAATATGTTGTTACAAATGTGTTGCAGATAGATGTCCTTAAAAGAAATATGTATTCAAATGTATTGATTTAGACTAGTCTATACCTTTGTATGAAGGTATACATGTTTATGAAGCACTTTAATAAATGAGGATGTACTGTACGGTATTGCCTGATGGATTATTACACTTTCTTCTTTTATTAATTTGCTCACAAATCCAGACGAGGCACATCCAAAAGGCTAAAGAGGGAAAAGTAATTCATAAAAAACACCAAGAAGAGGCCCGGAGGAGGTAAAAAGCCATTTTTATTTGCCCTCCATGTTAACCGTGGGCACTTTCCCATACATAGCATCTTTAATTACACAGAAGTAGAGCAAGAAGGACAGGTTAGCCTAAGGGGGAGGCTATGAAAGCAGCGCTGCAGCTCAACATGTGCACCAGGGAAATCAGTTCTCTGCCCTGACTGTGGGAGGGAGGGAAGGGTTGTACTTATAGATCAATGAGGAGAAAGAAGAGCCTCGAGGTACTCCGGGCACATGTTGTATTTGTGCAAAAACACACTTTGCTCTGCCTTTAACACTCACTCACTCACTCATATGCATGGAGTACAAGCTGGGTAAGATGCAGCTTTTCTTGCAAAAAACGTGACACACTGTGCACATGCAAAGAAAAAGATACAGCTATTGTGAAGTTTGAGTCCATATGTGATGGCAGCTTTACAAAAGGTCACTGAAACAGATTTGGTCTCAGCGACTCATCCCTGTGGACACGACAATAAGTCTCCAAACCCTGAGAGCCACATTACGTCTCCACACACCAGCAGAATGCTAATAGGAAGCTAAGCTGCCATGGGTTTCTTTACTATTACAATGCATACACGTCGCTGTACGTCCTCAGCCTGGAGCAGAATCACACAGCTAACTAAATGGATGCTAATGTATACAGTATGCATAAATCCAACAAGCCCATTGTGTAAATTGTAAATGCACAGGTTGGACTTGCCTGCAGGAAATGAAAAGCTGTTTATAGGCCTTGAATGCTAATGTTATCTATCTCTTGAGGTAAATAAGCCCACATAAGTGCTACTGAACTGTAGATAAAATAATGAGAGCGGCATAAGGTCATCCTATAATTATGTGTTATTTTGGTCCTTTGCGGCTGTGGAGTGCATTTATTGGCATAATTACATTCTATATTTAAAGGTGATAAGCCTGTTTGCCTAATGTTCTATTCACTGTAATTCCCCCATTGTATTTCTCTTTCAGTCTTACCGCCCTTCAATAAAGCCTATTAGTGGTGTTATTAAGCCTTCAAAGAGAATCAGATGTTGTCTGAAACTATAACCGCATTTCCTTAGACTTTAGGTGAGTAAAGCATACTTTCCGAGCCTTTTGATTACTTTTCAGCTTGTTATTATGCTTTCCAGCACCGGCCAGATATGTTGCGTTAACAAATAGCTGCTTTAACTCCAAGTTAAACTCAATCAGAACGTTGTATGTGACACTTCTATGCGACAGGTTGTAAAAGCAGAACTATCCAGACATGCCCAGAGGCTTCAGCTGCCCTGAGGAGGCAGACGACAGGTATGAGACCCCCCCGGTAACAGAGCTCCAGAGACTGATGTGGACAAAGAAAGGGACCAGCAGCCATCTGGATAAAGTTCAGCCCAGGATATATATTGGAGACATGTGAGACCAAGCATACTAAAAATGGTTATATAAATTGTTTCTAACTATGAAAGGGTTTCAAAACTCTAAAACAATTAAAAAAATAACATTTGAGTGGAAGAGCAGCATCAATATTTGTTATTAACAATGGACTGCAAAGGAAATGCGACTCGTTTAACATTAATAATGAACAATGGCCCTTTACGCTATGGTGTTTTTATTGGATGTTTCTGCCGTCCCCTATAAGAAGGTATGATACATGTCTTATTTTTCATATAAGATAGTAGCTACTGAATGTTTGCCAGGTTTTGACCCCATGTGTAAATAAACGATCCAATTTTAAGCATTTACCAATGTGATGCTTTCGTTGTTTGTTTTTATGCTAAACACTAGCTGTGTTTAGCATATTGGCTAAACTGTTGCCTTGCTGACCCAATGTATGTTAACACGGTCTTATAAACTTTAGACTACATGCTTAATATTACTGAAGTTGCTTACTTTACACAAATTAGTCGTGGAAGTATTGCTAGCAAATGACATGTGTCTCGGGTTTTTCTGTCACCCCAAATATACTGGAGGGGAAATTCATTTAGTTTGTGGTGTGAAAGAACAGGGAAAAATACAATCTTCCAATTTAAGTCCAAGGGATGCTCTTTGAAATGATAAACCCTTCTTTCCCTTATCTGCACTGACAGACAATTGTGCTTTTTCCCCTTAGGTATGCAGCCAAAGACAAGAGGAAACTCCTGGCTCACCACATCACCCATGTTCTTAATGCTGCTGATGGGAAGTTTAACGTGAACACGGGCCACAGCTTCTACAGAGACACAAAAATCACTTATCACGGAGTGGTCGCTTTTGACATGCCATACTTTGACTTGAGTCCCTTTTTCTACCCAGCGGCCAATTTTATCAAGAACGCTTTGAGCTCGCCTACAGGTGAGAAGCATTCACTAGACTCGAGATATCTCTAATCATTTTAACACTGAGCTTGGGGGAGACATATTTTTCTGCAAGACAAAGTACAGAAACATTTATCAGTCAATTCCCATTACAGCAGCCCCCAGTTGTGTTAGTCATTAAAATGCAAATCAAACACTAAACATAATATCAAGCTAATATCTTTCCCCCACGGTAATCTTCTCATAAGCTCAGACCTTAGCCAGGAAAATTGGTTTTAAATGGATTGCCCTGGTAATTTGTAAGCAACACTTTTATTGGACATGGAAATTACACAATTATGTTTGTGGCCTGTGCTAGCCTGGCCTGTTATGCAAAGCGAAGTCGGTATCTGACATGACAGTAATAACATGAGGCCTCCTCATTCACATGCTGGCTGATCGGGGGCTCCAGTGTGTGGCGGGCCCTACAGTAATCCCCGGAAGAAATACACAGACGCCAAGACAGTTCAATTACGCGCTCCTATGCGCCCTAATCCTCAACCCTGATAAGGAAGCAGGGATTACTGTGTGTAGAAACATTTGTTGCAACATTGTTGAAAACTTTTAGTCAGGAGTTAGAAGTACTCCTCTCTGTGATGTGCATGGTTTTTAATCCACAAAGGAGTTACAAATTAGACAGTTAGAATAAAGTTCACCACAATAATCCAGTCATTGCATGGTTGTTAATACAGACATGGAGCTGGTAGACAGGATGAACTGTGGTCTGATCAACAGGAAGTGATGCTCAGTGTTTTGGTTTTCGTGCAGGTAAAGTGTTTGTCCACTGTGCGATGGGTCTGAGCCGCTCGTCCACCTTGGTCCTGGCATACCTGATTATCCACGAGAACATGACGTTGGTGGACGCCATCAAAGCTGTCAGCGCCAACAGGCACATCTCACCGAACAATGGTTTTCTGGAGCAGCTTCGAGAGCTGGACAAAAAGCTGCACTACCAGGGACCAGCGAGGAGCTCCAGTGCCTACGGGCGGACTTGAGGGCAAATCCATCCATCCATCCATTTGAATGACATTTTTTTGTTTGAAGTACAATGAAGATATGAATGTAAACCAAGGTGTAATGTGTTTTTTTGCAAAACGATTTCCATTTTTTTGTGAAGAAATTAAAGTTACTTACATTAAAGGCCTTCACTAGTAATGAGAAGTAAAAGAAAAAGTGAGGTGATCCTAAAAAAGAATATTGTCTGTGTCGACACAGCTTTAATATAATCCTAAAAGCACATACAAGGGCTGTGAAGTTACAAAAGGTGACATACTACTTCTTGATACATTCAACAGGTCTAAGGAAAGAGCAGCTACTGAAAGGACTTAACTGTGAGATCAACTGTCATCAAAAAAGACATGTTCAACATGTGAGACTCTGTGGATAAGAGACCTTCAACATTACATTACATTGCATTTAGCTGACGCTTTTATCCAAAACGACTTACAATAAGTGCGTTCGACCAACAAAATACAAACTTGAAGAAAACAGAATCATATAAGTACATCAGGTTTCATAGAGCAAAAACATTTCAAGTGCTACTCAACTGGCTTTAGATAAGCCAGTCCTTTATTAGTATACAAGTGCTTTGTTAATAGTTATATCGCTCGAAGTGGAGTCGAAAGAGATGAGTTTTCAGTCTGCGTCGGAAGGTGTGTAAGCTATCTGCTGTCCTGATGTCAATGGGGAGCTCATTCCACCATTTTGGAGCCAGGATAGCAAACCCACGTGTTTTTGCTGATGGGAACTTGGGTCCCCTTCGCAGCGAGGGTGCAGCGAGCCGTTTGGTTGATGCAGAGCGGAGTGCACGTGCTGGGGTGTACGGTTTAACCATGTCCTGGATGTAGGAAGGGCCAGATCCATTCGCAGCATGGTACGCCAAGTACCATTGTCTTGAAGTGGATTCTAGCAGTTATCGGAAGCCAGTGAAGGGAGCGGAGGAGCGGCGTGGTGTGGGAGAATTTAGGAAGGTTGAAGACCAGGCGAGCAGCTGCATTCTGGATGAGCTGCAGAGGTCGGATGGCACATGCAGGTAGACCAGCCAGGAGGGAGTTGCAGTAGTCTAGGCGTGAGATGACGAGAGCCTGGACCAGAACCTGCGTTGCTTTCTGGGTCAGCTGGGGACGTATCCTCCTGATGTTGTAAAGCGTGTATCTGCAGCAGCGGGTTGTAGTAGCGATGTTTGCAGTGAAGGACAGGTTGTTATCTAGGGTCACACCCAGATTCCTTGCAGTCTGAGTCGGGGAAACAACAGAGGTGCCAATGTTGATTGTTAGGTCAAGAGTGGGACAATCTTTTCCCGGAAGGAAAAGCAGTTCAGTCTTGTCAAGGTTGAGCTTGAGGTGATGATCAGACATCCACTGAGAGATGTCAGCTAGACAAGCAGAGATGCGTGCGACGACCTGAGTCTCTGAGCGGGGAAAGGACAGAATTAATTGGGTGTCGTCAGCGTAGCAGTGGTATGAAAAACCATGCGGGCTAATGACTGATCCGAGCGAGTTTGTGTACAAGAAGAAGAGGAGGGGACCAAGAACAGAGCCCTGAGGGACCCCTGTAGTTAATTGACAAGGGTCGGACTCGGACCCTCTCCAAGTAACCCTGTAGGTGCGGTCTTTGAGGTATGAGGTGAGGAGGGAAAGTGCAGAGCCTGAAACTCCAAGTTCTTGGAGAGTGCGAAGGAGGATCTGATGATTCACCGTGTCGAATGCAGCAGACAGGTCCAAAAGTATGATGACAGAGGAGAGGGAGGCTGCTTTAGCAGTGTGCAGTTCCTCAGTGACAGCAAGGAGGGCAGTTTCTGTGGAGTAACCTGCCTTGAAACCAGACTGGTGCGGATCCAGAAGGTTGTTCTGATGGAGATAGCAGGAGAGTTGTTTAAAAACAGCGCGTTCAAGTGTTTTAGACAGGAACGGGAGGAGAGAGACAGGCCTGTAGTTTATAACATCAGACGGGTTGAGAGTGGGTTTCTTTAGGAGAGGGTTTACTCTTGCCTCCTTGAGACTGTTTGGAAAGTGACCAGAAGTTAGAGAAGTGTTGATGAAATGGGTGAGAAACGGTAGAATATCAGGAGCGATAGTCTGAAGGAGGTTTGAAGGGATAGGGTCCAGAGGACAGGTGGTAGAGGTAATGAGGGTAAGAACCTCACTTGGAGAGAGAGGGGAAAAGGAGGTCAGTGTGTGGGTGAAAGGAGGTTCTGGTGACCCAGCGGTGAGTAGAGGTGAGTCAGAAAAAGAAGAGCGAATATCATCAACCTTTTTTTCAAAGTGGTTAATGTAAGGGAAACTTCTGTGTAGCAATGCAGTGGGAGTCACCGACTCAGGAAGGAGACTTTGATATCAAACACTGATGGTTTATTTGGAGTTTCGACCGGAGAGATTCACATCACAAGTCCAAGAGCCAGAGGTTCTGACTTCACGGTAGAGTTGCCACGTCAATTCTAGCGCGCCTCTCTCTTGTTAGCCCATTTAACTGGTTTCACAGAGAGTAATCAACATATTTTGATAAGATAGCTTTAGACAGTTTGGGCACACTGAGTTACTTGCGTCCGTCATTTATGGCCTCGAAGATGTCATACCTTGGAGTCCACAAACAACAAAGAAGGAAATGTCCCAGTGCACCCACAACAACAGACCATCTGTGACCTAGTGTTGACCGGTCACAGAATGGAAACAATAACATTATGGCTCAAGCAGCCTATGTCCTTAAAGGAGATAAACAGACGTCAGGGTTGGTCCTGTACGTCATATCTAGGAGTCTAGGACAATTATTTCCCTAACAGTTAACAAAGTCGCTTGACAGAAGGGAAAAGGGGGAAGGGGCTTTGGGGGGGTCCAGGAGGGAGGAGAAGATGGAAAATAGTTTTTTGGGATTGGAATAGGAAGATTGGATCTTATCTTGAAAGAAAGTGCTTTTTGCCTGAGAGATCGAAGCAGAGAAAGAGGAGAGGAGAGCTTGATAGGTTAGGAGGTCGTCACAGTGTTTGGATTTCCACCATTTCCGCTCTGCTGCCCGAAGGACGGTTCTATCAGCACGCAGTGCATCATTTAGCCAGGGAGCAGGAGGGGACTGACGAGCCTGCCGAGATGTGAGAGGACAGAGAGAGTCCAGAGAGGATGAGAGAGTAGAGAGGAGAGTTTCTGCAGCAGAGTTTGGAGGTAGTAGTTGGAACGAGTCCGAGGAAGGGAGGGCTGAGAGCACCGATAAGGCAAAGGTAGAGGGGGAGAGGGAACGAAGGTTACGGCGGACAGGTGCAGGATGAGAAGAGATTAGTTTGTTATGTTTGGAAAGGGGTAGAGAGAATGAAATGAAGAAGTGATCGGATGTGTGGAGCGGGTTTACAGAGAGGTTAGAAGTAGTACAGTTCCTTGAGAATATGAGATCAAGGACATTGCCAGCTTTATGAGTTGGTGGGGACGGAGACAGTGAGAAAGCAAAGGCGGTTAACAGAGATGTTAGTTCGTCTATCTTCCCTGTCTGGAGGTTGAAGTCTCCGAGAAGTACAGCGGGAGGACCAGTTTCAGGGATTTGTGAGAGGAGATTATCTAATTCCTCCAAGAAGTCCCCCAAGGCGCCTGGTGGACGGTAGAGAACAACAATGGTTAATTGTATAGGATGGGTTACTGTGACGGCATGGAATTCAAAGGTGGAAGGAGTGAAGTTAGGTAGCTTGAAGAGGGAAAAGCTCAATTTGGGAGAGAGCGGGAGACCAGTGCCACCTCCTCTGCCAGTGGGTCTGGGTGTATGGGAGAAGGAATATGCTGTGGAGAGAGCTGCTGGGGTGGATCTGTTGGATGGAGTAATCCACGTCTCAGTGAGAGCAAGGAAATCCAGAGACTGCAGGGAAGTGTAGCCAGAGATGAAGTCAGCCTTAGGAACAGCTGACTGGCAGTTCCACAGGCCGCCTGAAACTAGATGTTGGATCTCAGTGGAGCATGTGGGATAGACGAGAGCAGGCCGGTTATATCGATTACGAGATACACGGGGCCAGTGATAATTGCGAGAAGACACATGAACAGGAATGGAGAAAATACACATGATTATAGCATGAGGGGCTAAACAACCAAATAAAATAAAACACCAGCGATACTTTAGCTCAATCAAAGTAGGATTTGCCTCCTCTTTGCCTCCCTCGTGACTCACCTACTCAATAAAGCTCTTAGTATTCTACAAATGTTTAAATCAAAGTTAACCCTAGCAGTCAGTTAGTTCAGTTTTAAGGTTTCAGTCAAATTACTTGTCCCAAGTTTCTGCCTGACAGATACTGTAGCGGTTTTGAGATTTAAAATCACAATTTCAGTCAGATCAACTACAGAGCATTGATACAGAGTACACACACTGAAACAGAGAAGTCTAAAAACAGAATGTTACTCACACAATTCTAGAAGTCTCCAGTTGCTTTCCTGTCAAAATCGAGTTGCAATCAAGAAATAGTTAAACATTTTGGGCAATATTCTCTTGAGCTTTCATGCTGGGAGATATATGAGAAGATGGAACACTTTTCTTTCTGTGTGCTAAATATGCTAAACTAGAGCCAGGAGGGTTTAGCTCATTTGTTTAATCTGTACACAAACATGAATGGGTTTCTCATTAACTCTCAGAAAAAGTCAAACAATTCTCAAAAAGCTCTGAGAACAATTGGAAATGTTAACATCAATAATTCTATGACAAATGGCAATCTAATCTGCGGTAAACATAATGGTCAGTGATGTTTGCCTAACTCGGAGCTACTGTCCAGAAATAGAAAAGGCATTCTTTGAAGGGTTTCAGCACAACTTCAGTCTCCATGACCATTATAATAAGGAAATATGTCACCAAATGTTTTTTAATAGTTTTTGGATAATTAGGCAGTGGGCAATTTGGGAGAGAGCAAACCGCCTTTGCTTTCTCACTGTCTCCGTCCCCACCAACTCATAAAGCTGGCAATGTCCTTGATCTCATATTCTCAAGGAACTGCTCTACTTCTAACCTCTCTGTAAACCCGCTCCACACATCCGATCACTTCTTCATTTCATTCTCTCTACCCCTTTCCAAACATAACAAACTAATCTCTTCTCATCCTGCACCTGTCCGCCGTAACCTTCGTTCCCTCTCCCCCTTTGCCTCATCGGTGCTCTCAGCCCTCCCTTCCTCGGACTCGTTCCAACTACTACCTCCAAACTCTGCTGCAGAAACTCTCCTCTCTACTCTCTCATCCTCTCTGGACTCTCTCTGTCCTCTCACATTCATTAAATCCATAAATAAAATCATAAAAATAACACCAGCATTATTAATGATCTGAAATAAGGAACAAGTTGATGTGGTATGAACTGACTCAACGTGGCATCTTCCTCAACATGTTTTGAATCCCTGACACTATTACAACTGTAATCACTGCTGTGGTTCTGTGGTTAAAGTTGTCACAACACAAGCAGCATGGCTTCTGTCACAGCCATCTGAGGAATAAATAGTCCACACTGCTCCTGCCCAGACTCTGGCATCTTCAGCTGTCACGTTCCAGCGGGGCTCAGCCTCTAAACAACACTGATACTCTGCTCAGATGGAAAACCGAGCGAGCTGCTCCAATAAGGTCAGAGTTTACTGTGGTTCCTTTCCAAATGTCTGCAGGAAAGAAAAACTAGCAGAACAGCAGAACAGAACTTCTCAAATTCTCCATCCAGGAACATCAAGTATTTGGGGAAGTTATCCAACTGTTTTGCAAGTGTTGAGCTGAATATCATTTGTGATAATTATACGACAACAATCAAGTGAAATACGCAGATATGAGCCCAGAGGAGGAGTCGGAGTATCAGACACCGCCCACCTGCGATCTGCTCTGCCTTCTGCTGAAGAACAGACGCCCCACCGGAGCTGTCAACGAGGTTTGGCCCAACCTCTACATCGGAGACGCGTAAGTGACATTCTCACTTCAGGGCCCCGCTGCAATATGGTGATCTGATTGTGAAAGTGTTGCTGCAAACAAGCATGTATTTGGCTAACTCATGGGAGAAATATAAAATCTGTACATTTGAGTCACCAGTGATGCATTTGCAAACATACGCTCAGAGAGCTGGCCAGAAAAATCTCTAAAGGCAGTATTCCCCGTATCATGTCTTGTGTTGTTTAACAGGGCTACAGCGCAGCATAAAACCCGGTTAGTGGATCTGGGAATTACACACGTGGTGAATGCTGCAGATGGCCCCCAGCACATTGACACGGGGCCATGTTTCTACAAAGACACCAACATACAGTATCATGGAGTGGAAGCAACAGACTGTAAAGATTTTGACTTGAGCCCATTCTTCACAGAGACGGCTGATTTCATTCATGGAGCTCTGAGTCAGAGAGGTAGGCCTACCATTTGAGCCACAGGAAACAGATTTGCACATTACGTGAGGGGTGTAAATCTGCACCAAATGTTGTGGTATAAAAATGTAACAAGATGCTTCTTCAAGCTGGAAATCTGATTGTAATGCCAAATACATCCTATTAATTATGAATCAAAAATTCAGAAATTGTGAGCAAAAAAATTAAATGACTCAGCTGCTGCCTGAGAACGTGTACATGAAAGTCCTCATGGATATCTAACTTAAGTTCATGTAAAGGTGTCCAAAAAGTACATTTGTGACTAATTGAGGAGATTGGTAACTCTCTTTATCATCATGAAGACATTCTCAGCCAGGCATTTTTTTATGGATTAACTTTAATTAAATAACTATCACCTATTGTATTTCCGGAAATGATTTTGTTTGCACTTTTGTACCAAAATCTGTAAGATTTAAAAAAAAAATCCTATAAATTAAGCAACTTAAAAAAATGTCTGTAATATGTTTTATATTTTACAAGCGTATAGTCAGTTTTTCTCAACCTTCTAACTCAATAGCTTGTGTTCTTGTTACACCCCTGACCTGCACTATGAAAATATAAACAAAAGCTAAAACGTCCCTTATAATGAATCACATTCTGTATGTATGTTATGTACAATATTTAAGGTGCTCTTGTCTCTTGCAGGTAAGGTGCTCGTCCACTGTGCTCGAGGAATCAGCCGCTCTGCGACCTTAGCGCTGGCCTACCTCCTGATCAGAGAGAGACTCAGCCTGGTGGAGGCTGTGGAGGCCGTTCGGAGGCACAGGAACATCCTGCCTAATGTCGGATTTCTGAATCAGCTCCGACACTTGGACTCTTCCTTGGCTCTGCAGAGGAAAACAACAAAATGTCAAGCAATTGAGAAATAAACTTGTTTCTAATTACATGTTGATTCAGAAAGAAAAAATTGTTTTCATATTGTTCACAAATTATTTAAAACCCCTGGCTGTCTTCAGTGTCAGGAGAAATACATCAGATAAACCCAGCACTGTAAGGCATGCATTTTAAAGTCGTCAGCAAAAATGTAAAGTATACATGAGTTAAGCAGCTGAAACACCAACATGGTCACATGCAGCACATCAATATCACAGAGGCTTTTAACACAAATGTAGCACAACTGCCAAAACTCCTGCTGTTCTTGAACAACTCATAGACAGTGTGTGCCTATTAATAAATAATGCTCCACTTATAGATCCACAACTCTCAAAATACGGTGTCTTAACCGCTGCAATCCAGCGTCGTAAACGGTGGTGTCTAAAGAGGCTTGATACAAGATGATAAAAATCTGCCAGCATGGTTCTGAGTGTGTATACAGATTCAGGTCAGACTTTGAAAAGAGATGAAACGCTGAAGCCATCTTAATAAGAGATGCTCTCCAGAGCACACTGGGAAAAAGAGAGAGACGCTGTCAAAATAAAAGGAATTGGATATCACAGGTTTAATGATTTCACTGTCAGAATGAATGATGGCAGAGAAGATATGAGGGAAAAATAAAGGACTCTGATGGTGTGAAAACTCTGTCTGACATGTTAGCAGCTTCATCCAGCCATTCTGCGATACAGTCATCATCACACTCTCACTTTGGGGGCTCACATTAAGATCAGTGAATGGACCATATCATATAACGGGGAATCAAAGACATCCTGTGAAAAACCTCATCTGTCTAACTGTCTGACACATTTCAGTTTTCTTTTGGCCCCTGAGAGGCTCCATAAAATGAAGAACATCCTTAACGGGTGTTGTGAGGCAATGCTTACACGTTTTCTCCCAGCCTCTGATATGCAAAATAATAAAAGAGACAATTTCAAGGAGTCGCTCTCACGGCTGAGAGAACCCTGTTCACTCCAGTGAATATGGGTATCCTTTGGCAAGTGCAAAGTTTGGGTACGCACAGCTTCCTGCCAGCAACGGGGATTAAAGTTGTGTGTTTAGAAGTGGATGGCAGGGACATGCTTGGTGGAAGTTTTCCCCACAGGCAGGGAACGTGGCAGCTAAGGTCAGGGGCCCGCCACATCACAGCCCTAAAAATATCCTCTGCATTTGATGCTCGTCACAGAGCGGTTATACAATCTGTGCGCTCACTTGAGCCTGCCAGAATTAAACCTCACCATGTTCTGCCTTAAAGGAGTGCTTCACAACAAGCTGCCAGAATGATGAAAACAACATCTCCGAGCTTCAATCTCTGGGTGAGTGTTGTTGGAGATGCATGTGGAAAAACAAAACTGTATTTTTTCATGAATAAAGTCGCAGGAGGGGAAAAAAAAGCAAGCGTGTTATTTCTTTTCCCCCCTTAAGCTGATAAATCATGTGTGAAAGAAAGCCACAGCGAGAAAATGGCTTCTCACACGTCAAAGACTGGCATCAAGATAAATGCTACAAAGGCAGCGCAGGAATCCAGTCCAGCGGATGAATATGTCACACCTGGGGGCTATGAGCTGGAGAAAATCCTAAACCGTGGGAGTGTTGCTTACACTCATGTCAACGAGGTGTAATGTCTACATCGGGGACGAGTAAGTCAAAAAGTATAAAATGACTAAACTGAATAAAATAATGAAGGATTAAAATAATATTCACGCCTACTTTTCGCAGGCAGACTGCAAAGGATAAGTGTAATTTGAAGAGGTTGGGGATTACGCATATCTTGAACGCAGCAGAGGGGACGTGGAACAATGTGGACACTGGAGCTGGTTACTATGGTGACATGGACATGGTGTATTATGGCGTGGTAGCAGAAGACGTCACAACCTTTAACCTCAGCCAGTATTTCTTTTCTGCAGCTCGGTTCATAGAAGAGACATTGAGCAATCCTCAGAGTAAGAAAACACATAGTTAAAGGGTCATTCCAGCCAGATTAAGAAATCACATGGTCTGTAGTAGCCTACCTAAAGTTGTAATGACAAGACTTTGAGCCTAAACATCCGCTATAAAACATAAACAGGAGTAGGGGGATTACAATTTGACTTTTCAAAGATAGTTGATGGCAAAACATTTTGGTTCTTGGTATCAGGGTTGTGAGATCAACCTCCACATCCTTGTTTTTTTTGGAGATCAAATAGGTAAAAAACTACATTTGAAAAGTTGACATAAACGCCTATATTTTTCAAGTGTAGGCTACTGCCATTTCGATGTAGGCTACTGATTTCTAGGGGTTATAGTCTTTGCTTTTGTTAGTTTTCATAGGGAACTTTAATCCACATTGACGCGGTTTCTGAAACGTTTTATATTCCTCAAATGAAAGATGGTGACAAAAAACACATTAATAGATACGTGGCCATTAACGCACTTAGTCAAACACCAAGTAGAGGGGTGATTGAAACCCTATACATTGCACAAAACTAATAAAAAATGAGCAATGTACAGTAGCTATTACCTGACTGTGTGACTCCTGTATGTCCAGATAAGCTGCTGGTGCACTGTGTGATGGGAAGGAGTCGCTCCGCCACCCTTTTCCTCGCCTACCTCATGATCTGTGAGAACATGACGGTGGTGGAGGCCATCGAGCACGCGAAGAGCCGCAGGAGAATCATCCCCAACTGGGGCTTCCTGAAACAGCTGAGGGAGCTGGACATGCAGCTCCTGGAGAAACAGGAAGAGCAGAAACATGGGGCGAGTTCAGCCTCAGGTCTAGGCTCAAGTAATTTTATTCCAATTTAGGCCTCAAGTCCAAGATGACTTTCAAGTCATTTGTAAAGAGTCAGGTCTCAAGTCGAGTTTCTAATGTAATGAAGAATAGTCCAAGTCAACTTTAAGTTATGGGAGACAAATTAAGTGTAAAAGTGTAAAAGTCTCGAGTCATGTTACAAATCTAAGTTACTAAATTACGAGTCAGGTTGAGAGATTGATCTCTGAATGCTTTCCATGTAAATGACACAGCATTTTAGCATATTCAATGTAAAGTTGTAGCAACCATTTGCTTGTAATCTTGAGGTTTACAAATGAAATACTTGATGTGCATGGGTATCCTCCCTGTTGTTGCAACAATATTTAGAATGTTCTAAACTTTTCTGGGATTTTACAATTTAGATTAATGACTCCTGTTGTCAGGTTTCAGTGCGGTCAAGTTCACCTTCCTGTCATATTTTTTCTATTTAATATTTGTCTTTCTATTTTATACATACTTTTCTGCAGGGAGAACAGCTGCGTGGATCTGTCATTGCCTCTTCATTCTGAAACACCTCCAGCTAGTAAATGTTTCACATTAAAGGAAAACAATCAAGTACATGGTCAATCATAATTTATTCTTATGCTAAAATGTACAGCATTTTAAGTGACTGACAAAAGGAGAAAATTCATAAATACAAGAATGTCATTCTGTCCGATTTGTGTGCACATAGCCAGGTATTTCCCCCCTGTTCTCACCAGCAACTCTGTACAGGTACAAAGGCTACAAAAGAGCAATATAAACAAAAACACAAGTACAAGTTGCGTTTTACATGCAAGCCATTAGCTTAGTTTGGTCTATTCACAGGCTCTATTCTTCTACACTTCGGTAAAATATAAATCCAACATTTTATAAAGATAGAAAACAAATCTACAGATGGAATGAAAACGTAGCTTTAAAGGCATTATGTAAAATATCAACTTTGGACTACATTTATATTTTCTTTATTGTTATCCATCGTTATAATAATTTAGTTCTTTTAAATCCTGCCACACTTCTGGACATTTTGAAATGTTTTAGAATTGTTCAGGGTACAAACACTGAGATATGCTTTGTTATTTTTGACAGAAATCAGTCTGCTTTATTAAACAGAAAGCTGCCTCAAGGAGATCTGTTACAAAAGACTTCAGAATTATACATACATAGCAATAAAACCTCTCAAACCGAACAGAAAACAGGACTAAGTTTACATTTTTTTACATTATTAGAATTAACAAAATATAGTTTCATCTTATCCCTGTGGAGGGAAACCTAATAAAGGCCAGATATCTTTCAAATGGCTTGCTATTAAGCACAACACTTGTACAGTACTACTCAATGCACTGTCACTAACAGAGACTGAAGCATGCTAGTTGTCACTTTACAAAATAAGTACAATAATTTAAATATACAAAGGCATGAGTATAGTACAAACTAATTGTCAGCACTGTTAGACAGGTACACTGAACAGGTTCAAACAGCCACTAACTCCACTTGTAGCAGGCACATTAAATGGCTTCATTTGAGGCTGCTACACGACTGCAAGACCACTGATGAAATCTCTACCGCTGAGCTCTGAACCGCCTGCTCTAAAGACACATCAGAGACACTAACACTAATTAAATATATTCTCATCGTAATGATGTAAGGCTTCCCATCTGGAGAAACAAAAATACTTTTTTTTAACATTAGCTTCAAGGGTTACTCATTGACGACATTTTTTGCATTCTTTCCAAGTGCTGCTGCTGGTTTTTAAGTCATAAACGATAACAAGAAAAGACACAAAAAAAAATAAAAAAGGCCAAATCAGTGCATCTCTGAACAGCAAAATGCACGCGAGGAGGGCCAGCGGAGAGTTACCGCCTGATGAAAGGCCCTTTCAGCGACTGCTTGGGCATGCCTGTGTTCATGTAACCATGGTGACCAGCTGGAGTGTACACCATGTTGCCATGTGGTGGAGCCTGCATGGGCTGCTGGGGGTATGGCTGTGTTCCCATCATGCCCATCTGCATAGAGTACTGGGATGACTGGTTCATATAGGCATGGTTGCCATGGTAGCTGCTGTTCATCATGGGCTGGCTCATGCCGTAACTGTTCATGGCGTTGAGCGAGGGCATGTTCATGGAGTTGACGTTGTAGCCTGGCGCCGGCATGATGTTCACGCTCATGTTCATACGCGGCATGGCGGCCAGCGTCCTGGAGGGTGCCTGCATGGCCACGCTCTGGGGGGGGCGCGCGTACATCTGCTGCTGCTGCTGCTGCTGGTGGTGGGACAGCGGGGCGGACTTGGAGCGTGCCGAGATGTGACTCTTGGAGGCCATTTGGGGCTGGATCCTCTGCGAGGGGGGGATGCCCATGTTGCGCTGCAGCATCATGGGCGGCGGGCTGCTGAGGTTCGGGGGCGGGGTCATGGTGGCCTGCACCTGGGGGTTGGGGACTCGATGTGGGGTCTGGGACAGGGACACCAGGCTGGAGTGCTGCGAGGACAGGGACGTGGTGTTTGCATACGATGTGATGGGGTGTGAGGCCGAGTGGTTGAAAGGCAGCGAGTGGGGGTGCTCGATGAAGGTGTTGGTGAACTGCTGCAGCTTGGCCAGGCTGAGGCCGGACGACTGGGAGTAGTGCCCGCCCCCGTACTCCCCCTGGTGGTTGATCCGCTCGTAGAGGGTGAAATTGGGGTTTCCGGATTCGGGGATGTCGGCCAGCTGCATGGTGGTGGTGAAGTTGGTGGGGATGGCACACTGCGCCATGGGCTGCTGCTGGCTGTGCTGACTGTGTTGATTGTGAAGGCTGTGCTGCACGTGCTGATTGTGCTGGCTGAGCTGATTGTGCTGCAGGTGGTGATTGTGGTGGTGACTATGCTGGTTGTGAGGATTGTGTTGACTGTGCTGGCTAAGCTGATTGTGTGGACCGAGCTGATTGTGTTGGCTGTGCTGATTGTGGGGGCCTTGCCTGCTGTGGGAGCTGTGTTGGCTGCGCTGGCTGAGTTGGCTGAGTTGGCTGTGTTGGCTGTTGCTGGGGGGGCCGCTCCACCACCACGCAGCCCTGCGGCGACTTCACGTTGCAGTGCGGCGGTGAGCTCAGGCTGTTCTGCTGAATCATGCCGCAGCTGCCGGGGTTGACCGCAGCCATTTGCTGGCTCACGGCGCAGCTGCTCTGGGCCAGGCCGCTGGGGGGGATGCTGCCGTAGGAGCAGCTGTTCTGGGAGGGGCCCGCCCCGCAGATGCTGCCCCCCATGGTGGAGTCGTAGCTGCTGGGGTTCTCGTAGTTCTCCGTGGTGCTCTCGATGCTGCCCAGATCACTGAAGCCGCTGTCCACCACCTGCTGCGAGTGGTCCGACACCGACGGCACATCCATCATGGGGCTGGTCTCCATGTTGTGCAGCGACGGCACCGAGATGGCGCTGTGGTCCGGGCTGATCTGAGTGTAGCCGCTCTCCAGGATGGACACCGCCGGGCTGTTGACGGAGCGTACCGACTGGCTGGGATGGGATTGGGCAGAGGAGAGGGGGCTGCTGTGGTCTGACTGGGGGCAGTCATCCAGCGAGGTGAGCTGGGGGCTTTGTGCCACGTGGGTGTAGGTCTGCAGGGGCCTGCAGCGCTCCTGGCTCTCCACACAGCCCTGGAACACATTCTCCCTCTCTGTCTCCTGCGTCAGGGACTGAACAGCTTGAGCCGTCTCTGAGTCAATCTCGGTGCAGATGGGGGGGTCCTGTCGCAGCACGGGGCTGAGCGCCGGCCTCTCTGTAGGCTGAGGAGGGGGCCGATCGGGACAGGGACTGGACGTGCTCTCTTCCTCTGACTCAGACTCCACAGGGTTATCAGAGTCTGCAGCTGCGACTGAAGCGACTGCTACTGCTTCAGGCGCTGGTGTTGCTATTGTCTCTTCTGTCATCGCCTCCTGGATGCTCTCAGCAGCTGTAGCTTGCTCCTCTTCACTACGAGGTACTGTAGAAACCTGCTGACTCAACTCAGAGTCGTTGTCTTCTTTTTGATCTAAAAAAGGCGATGTGCACTCAGGTGTTTCTTTCAAAGTCTCTCTTTCAAACTCTGCTTTGCTGCTCTCAGGTTCTGCCTGCTTGCTGTGGCTGTCGTCCTCATCATCAGCATCCTGATCCTCCATACGAGTTCTCTGCTCGTCCTCCTCATCCTCCTCTGCGTTGGCGTTCTCCAGTGAAGGCTCCAATGTTCTGTGTTCCACCTCTTTTGATGGGGAGTCCTGCCCGGGGTCACTCTCCTGCTGGTCCTCCTCAGGTGGTTCTGGGGAGTCTGCTCTGTCCTCAGGCGTAGGGGACAAGGCGGCGGGTGAGGCGCAGGGTGAGGCGCTGGGTGAGGCGCAGGGTGAGCACGCAGGAGAAGCGACAGGCGATCCTTCGGGGGAGCTCGACTTCTGAGAGCCATGGTCAGCAGGGCTCGGGGGCTCGGAGAGGAGCCGCTCCATCGTAACATCTGGACTGGCCGAGCCTCTGCCTGCCGTCCTGCCCTCGTCTGCGCTGACTACATCCTCGTCTGGCTCCTCTTTGGCCTCTTCAGTGTGGATATGGTGCTGCTCTGCCTCCATCGGCGTTTCAGGGGGGGTGTAGAGGTTCAGCTTGAAGCCCATCTTCCGCTCCTTCTTAAGTCTCCACTTAGGAGGGCCGCGTTTCACTCCTTTCGGCCAGCCCTTCTTCCGTTTCACTGGACGGGGTCTGCTGGGTCTCTTATAGAGGATGTCAGCCCCTACAGGTTGAAAAGAAATGAATATCACACACTTTAATGAAGCTGCAAGAGCAAAACAGTCTGCTATAAAACTACATTTATGAGATGTAAATACCTTCATTCCAGTGTTCAAGATTGTCTCTTCGTGCATTTTTCTCTAGCCTCGGGCGACCTCTCCGGCGTTTCATTGGTGTAATTGGTATCTTGTCCTCCTGTTCCTCCTCCTCTTCATCATCTTCATCCTCCTCTTCATCCTCCTCTTCTTCTTCTTCTTCTTCTTCTTCTTCTTCTTCCTCCATCTCGCCCACTCTGCAGGTGCGCTCCAGCAGGGGCATCGGACGCTCATCGTCGTCGGAGTTGTCGAACGGTTCGTTCAGCACCTCTGTCCTCTCAGAGATGGTTTCTGTTGTCACGCTGCTGTTTATTCTCTTTCTTTTACGCCCTCTCTTTTTGAGCACAATGGATCTCTGCAAAACAAATAAAAGAGGAACCGATGAAAACAGAATAAAAGCTCCATCAGAGTAGAGGAGTTTTGTAAAGACTGAACACAAGGGCACTAGGTCTATGACCTCTCTGAGTGTGTAGCAGAAATTCATTCAGACTGGTGTGCCAAATGTAAAAATGTTGAAAGCACACTGTGAGACTAAAGGTTTAAGCAAAGCAGCCTGGTGTGGAAAACCACAGCTGAGAGGTTCAGAGTAAGCAGAAGCCACAGTCTATATTTTACATTCTCCAGTTGTTTCCCAGCGGCAGCCTACGACTCGACCGCTTTCCTCTCCGAGAGAATAATGTGAAATCAATACTGTAACTAATGCACTTAATGAACTCCAACAGCCTGTGTCGTTCTCTTCTGGTTTCCATAGTGTTTTGGTTGAAAAA